AGTCTTCCTCTGTCGCCTAGGCTGAAGTGCAGTGGCGTGACCTTGGCTCACTGCAACTTCTGCCTCCCGGGTTCAAGCAATTCTCATGCCTCGGCCTCCCAAGTATCTGGGATTACAGGCACGCACCACCATGTCAAGCTGATTTTTGTATTTTTTTTGTAGAAACAGGGTCTCGTCACGTTGGCCAGACTGGTCTTGAACTCCCGGCCTTAAGTGATCCACCAGACTCCCAAAGTGCTGAGATTACAGGCCACCACGCCCGACCCTGAATGGGTTGTTTCTTAAGACTATGCCCACCGGGCTAAGGATTTATACTAATGCTAGGGCAAGACTTCACTCCACTCATAGCGTAGTTCCTACAACAGTCTTAGTGACAATGTTTCTGACAAACTTAACCAGTCATGCAAATGTTAGCACCAACACAGTCTTGCATCCATGTCACCCCAAATTTTTCACATCCTCTGAAGACAACTTCAGTTGATATTCACAAAAGAAGAAAAGCCACTGCCACTGAGACTGCAGAACAACTAGATAAGTCTCACTTTGTTGCCTAGGTCGGAGTGCAGTGGCAGGATCTTGGCTCACTGTAACTTCTGCCTCCCTGGTTGAAATGGTTCTCGTGCCTCAGCCTCTCATGTAGCTGGAATTATAAACGTGTGCCACCATGCTCAGCTAATTTTTTTGTCATTTGTAGTAGAGGTGAGGTTTCTCCATATTACCCCAGGTTAGTCTTGAATTCCTGGCTGCAAGTGCTCTGCCCACCTCCCAGAGAGTGCTGGGATTACAGGAGTGAGCCAGCCACGGCGCCTGGCCACAACTACTTCCAAATGTCACAGATCAAAAGGGAGAAATTAGAAGGGAAAGCACAAGGTCTTTCTTTCCCTGAAAAGTAAAAAATATATGATTGTCATCTCATCAATTTATACTTATTAAGTGCTCATAATGAATTAAGATGCTTTAGTAAAGGTATACATGAAAAACAGTAACACTAGCCTCCTCGAACTAAATTCTGAGAAATAATGCTCTGAGGAAACCTGCCTAGTGAAAGGCAGTAGACTACAGGAAAAGAGACCAAACATGCAATAAATAAATACAAAGCACGTACAAATCAATGTAAAACGTAGAAAGCAATTTACCTAGAGTAAGTTTGATTTAAAGGTTTTGGAAAGGCCAGGCGTGGTGGCTCACATGTGTAATCCCAACACTTTGGGAGGCCAAGGCAGGTGGATCAAGAGGTCAGGAGGTCAAGGCCAGCGTGGCCAACATGGTGAAACCTCATCTCTACTAAAAACACAAAAATTAGCTGGGCTTGGTGGTGGGCGCCTGTAATCCCAGCTACTCGGGAGGCTGAGGCACAGAATTGCTTGAACCTGGGAGGCGGAGGTTGCAGTGAGCTGAGATCGCACCACTGTACTCCAGCCTGGGCAACAGAGCAAGACTCTCTCAAAAAAGAAATAAGAAAAAAGGTTTTCAGTACATTGAGAGGAAAAAAAAAATTTCACCTTCCTCCTAAACTTTAAAAGAGCTAATAAATCTAGTAAACTTACAAGTTGTCCAAAAATATGCCCAATTCAGGAAAGGGGTGGATGGAGGCAGAAAATATAACATGAGACATAAAAAACATAAAGGAACAAAATGAGAGAAAAAGAAAAGATGGGGGCCAGGCACAGTAGCTCATCCCTGTAATCCCAACATTTTGGGAGGCCAAGGCAGGTGGATCACCTGAGGTTAGGCATTCGTGACCAGCCTGACCAACATGGAGAAACCCTGTCTCTATTAAAAATACAAAAATTAGCTAGGCGTGGTGGCGTGTTCCCGTAATCCCAGCTCCTCAGGAGGCTGAGGCAGGAGAATCCTTGAACCCAGGAAGGGGAGATTGCAGTGAGCTGAGATCCCACCACTGCACTCCAGCCTGGGCAACAGAATGAGACTCAATCTCAAGAGCAAAAAAAAAGAAGAAAGAAAGATGGGCAAAAACAGAGAGGAAATTTGGCATAAACAATCCTAACTATTTTAGGGAGAGAAGAAAATCTCAGGGAAAGAGGAAAATAAGGGAAGGAAATGAACATAAAACTAACAGCGATTAAAAGCTGGAATACAATCATAGCTATCTATTAATGGGTTCAACATCTCTGTTTTACTGATAAATGGATTGTGGCCTGATGAGGTTAGGTAATTTCCTTGAGTTTGCACAGTTACATGGTAGCAGGTCCACCAAGGTGATTAACACACAGTAAATACTCAATTTTTTTTTAATGAATTAAAAGGACAAGTGTTATGGACCAGGTGTTTGTGTCCCCCCAATTCCAAATTCCTATGAACTCGCCGTCCTCCGCCCCTACCCCACCCCTGTAGCTGTATTAGGAGATGGGGCTTTTAAGGAAATAATTAACGTTAAATAAGGTGGGGGTGATAGCAGAGCAGTGCTGATCCAATAAGACCATTATCCTTATAAGAGACACCAGAGAGCTTGCTCCCCTCCACACTCCTCTATCCCTACACACAAAGAAGAGGTTGTGTCAGCACAAGACTAGATGGCAGCCATGAACCTGCCATGAGAAGAGGCTTCAGAATGAAACCTACCTTGCTGGGTCCTTGGCCTAGGACTTCCAAGATCAATTTTCTGTTGTTTAAGCCACCCAGACTGTGGTCATTTGTTTTTTTTTTTTTTTTTTGAGAGACGGAGTTTCGCTCATGTTACCCAGGCTGGAGTGCAATGGCGCGATCTCGGCTCACCGCAACCTCCGCCTCCTGGGTTCAGGCAATTCTCCTGCCTCAACCTCCTGAGTAGCTGGGATTACAGGCACGCACCACCATGCCCAGCTAATTTTTTGTATTTTTAGTAGAGACGGGGTTTCACCATGTTGACCAGGATGGTCTCGATCTCTTGACCTGGTGATCCACCCGCCTTGGCCTCCCAAAGTGCTGGGATTACAGGCTTGAGCCACCGCGCCCGGCCTGTGGTCATTTGTCATAGCAGTTCTACCAGATTAAGATAACGAGCATTAAAGTCTTCTGGCATTCAAAAGGAAAAGAAACAGAAAAGTAAAGAGGGACTGAGGTATTTTAGGTTTATTAAACAGTTTATAATTAACTATTCCATAGTTTATACTTAACGATTTAACAAACCTAAAATATAAATATTACTTTTGTTTACTGGTGATTTGTACTCACTCCCTCTTTACTTTTCTGTTAAAGAATGAAAAGGAGGCCACTGAGCCTCTGGCTAGGTGTAGTTTAAGCAAAATTTCAGGTTACATTTCTAGCGTTTCCCTAAAGGTACCTACAGGTAATAGAAACTCAAATTTTCATTTAATGAGTGTGCGGTCAGAATCAATTCCACACTTACAAAAGTAACATATCCTTTACACATTCCCCAGACAATGCACCATCAACTGTGAATAATATATGAGAGACAGAGAGAGAGAGAATGTGTGTGTGTGTGTGTGTGTGTAAGTTACTATATTTTGTTTTGTGAAATTGTAAAAAAAAAAAAAAAAAAAAAGCTTTATTGCTCAATTTTAATGTAAATTTTGAAAGCTGTAGTTAAAATTTAGTTTACTTCTTAAGTCAAAGAGGTAAATCTTAAGAATTCAAAGGAAAATGAACGTTACTGAAAAAATACAAATCATCAGTTTAAAAAAAGTAGAAATCTAGTACTTTTCATTGTGTCTCATAGTACTGTTCATTACCCAAATTGCTGGCAAATAGCATGGCCTTAATAACTGATGAAAGAATGGGCTAAATACGTAACAGAAAAAGAAATAAGAAGAACCCAGAACTTATAGGGGTGAGAGAACTTTTAAGGAGCTTTTTTTTTTTTTTTGAGATGGAGTCTCACTCTGTCACCCAGGCTGAGGTGCAGTGGCATGATCTCGGCTCACTGCCCTCTGCCTCCCAGGCTCAAGCTATTCTCCTGCCTCAGCCTCCTAAGTAAATGGGATTACATTAAGTAGCATTTTAATGGTCTTTGTTGCAGAAATGTGCCCAGAAAAAAAAAAAAAAAAGATTATACCAAGACAAGGGAGCAAAAATGGTACTGTTCTCCTTGTAACATTTATTAGGTAATATATAATAGGCAGTACCACAGCTCATCTTACAGATATAAGACCCTTGAAGCCTCAAAATAAAACTCCCTTAAATGGATGCCTAAATGGGTTCACTTCCTCTGCTCTAAAAAGGATATTATAGCCATGATATAATCTATCTAAAATTTACAAAATAAGTTATATTCTAAAAATGCATTTTGATTTCAGGTTTTTAGAACTCTGATCACATTCCCCCCTTAAAAGAAACATACAGACACACATACACACACACAGGGAGAGAGAGAGAGAGATTGAGAGACAGACTGATTGATTTATAAATGGTGGCTGTGTTTCTAGACCAGATCACAAGAGCCTAGTAATCACGGGGAAAATGTTTGAGCCCACTGTACCAGTAATGTACCTGAACTACTATCAATCTAAAATAAAAATAAACAAAATCCAGATAGCTAAAATAGCAGAAAATTACAAAAAAGAAATGCCAATATAATTAAATAAGAGATATTTTTCCCCCAAATCATCTTGCATGTTGGTTGTTAGAAGACAAATTTAATCGCTAAGAAAGCAGAGACTTCTGTAGAGATTTAGAAGAAAGAGTAGGACTTTCAAGGGTTTTAGTCACTGGTGTAACTTTTTAAAAAATAATTTCAATCGGCTGGGCGCGGTGGCTCAAGCCTGTAATCCCAGCACTTTGGGAGGCCGAGGCGGGTGGATCACGAGGTCAAGAGATGGAGACCATCCTGGTCAACATGGTGAAACCCCGTCTCTACTAAAAAAATACAAAAAATTAGCTGGGCATGGTGGCACGTGCCTGTAATCCCAGCTACTCAGGAGGCTGAGGCAGGAGAATTGCCTGAATCCAGGAGGTGGAGGTTACAGTGAGCCGAGATCGCGCCATTGCACTCCAGCCTGGGTAACAAGAGTGAAACTCCGTCTCAAAAAAAAAAAAAAAAAAAAAAAAAATTTCAATCTTATTTCAACATTTGATTTCCATTTTCCCTGATACAAAAGTAATTCTAATCAATCAACCACAAGTTAGGTAATTTTTTATTTGATAATGAAACAAAGACATGAAGACAATGAAAAAGAAACAGCAAGATTTAAAACAGAATGGGGAAGGAAAAAGTAATGCTTAATAAATACTTGCTAAGAGAGAAAAAAAGGAAAAGAGGGAAAATCTGAATATATAAAACAATGTCGTTAGTATAAAGATTAAGCAGGATAAGAGAGAGATGGAGGTGAAGGGTAGAAAAGAGGACCTAACATACCCACGATGTTTTTAAAGGACAAAGAGACTTGGTGATAAGGAGGACACCCTAAATCGGTTCTCAGTATTGCCACTCAGAGTACAATGGACTCAGAACAGCTGGGATGGGTCTGGAACAAAAACAGTAACCACTAACATACTGAACATATACTATGCACCAGGAACTGTTCTGAGAGCTTAACATGGCTCAAAACAACCCTCTGTGATAGATATTATGTTGTTCTCATTTTATAGATGGGAAAGCATGGTAATTTATCCAATGTCATTCAGATCGAATGCATCAGAACCAGATTTGGACCCTGTTAATTTGTTTCCAAAGCCTGTGCCATTAAAGCACTACTGTGTCAATAGTACAAAACACGGGTCCCTGTGATGTGAGAGAATGGCTGATGTCAACTAGAGTTCTACCACTATAAATTCTATAGTATCTGAGTATTCCCCATACTGAAAAAAATAACAGGTTAAAAAAAAGAACTCCGGAATTTAGTACCTATTTGACAAATATTTATTGAGTACCATTCATTATTCTAGATGCTGAAGATACAGCAGTGAATCAGACAAAAATCTCTACAGGAGGAGACAGGTGAGGGAAAAAAAAAAAAGATTTTATTTCACACACACACACACACACACACACACACACATAACTTGTTTTGTTTTTAACTATACAGGGTCTCAAGCCAGGCATAGTTGTTCACACCTGTAATCCCAGCACTGTGGGAGGGCAAGGCGGGAGGATCACCTGAGGTCAAGAGCTCGAGACCAGCCTGGCCAACATGGGCAAACCCCGTTTCTGCTAAAAATACAAAAAGTTAGCCAGGCGTGGGGGTGCACACCTGTAAACCCAGCTACTCGGAAGGCTAAAGCAGGAGAATCACTTGAACCTGGGAGGCAAAAGTCGCAGTGAGCCAAGATCATGCCATTGTACTCCAACCTGGGCAACAAGAGTGAAATTCCATCTAAATAAATTAAATAAAATAAAAATAAATTAAATAAAGATACAGGGTCTCACTCTGTTGCCCAGGATGGAGTGAGTGGCACCATCACAGCTCACTGCAGCTTTGACCTCCTAGACCTCCTAGGCTCATGCAATCATTTTGTCTCAGCCTCCAAGTAGCCAGGACTACAGGTACATGCCACCTCCTGAGTAGCCAGGACTACAGGTGTGTGCTACCATGCCCTGCTAATTTTTAAACTTGCTTTTGTAGAGATGGGGTCCCACTGTGTTGCCCAGGCTGGTCTCGAACTCCTGGCCTCAAGGAGCTCCTTCCACCTTGGCCTCCCAAAGTCCTGGGATTATAGGGGTAAACCACCATGCATGGCCTGTTTTTATAATATTTAGAAGATAAATGCTATTGAAAATTTAAAATAGAATGGCTTTCAAAAGGACTTATTGAATAGGTAACATCTGAGCAAAACTTTGAAGGCCAGAAGGAAGACATGGGTACATCTGGAGAAAAGCATTAGAGGCAGAAGAAACAAGTACAGTAAGCCCTCCATATTTGTGGGTTCTGCAACCCTGGATTCAACCAACCACGGATGGGAAATATTTGGGGAAAGGGGCGGGGAATAGTCTGTACTGAATATATAGGTTATTTTTTCATTGTTACTATGAATGGTGAATGGTGTTCTGGAAACAATACAACAGCTGATTACGCAGAATTTACACTTCATTTGCTATTATAAATAATCCAGAGGTAATTTAAAGTATGCAGGAGAATATGTGTAGATTATATACAAATGCCACACTATTTTGTACCAGACACTTGAGCATCTGCAGATCTGAGTATCTTTAAGAGGTCCTGGAGCCAATCCCCCCACCCCATGAATACCATGGGACAGCTGTACAAAGTGCCTGGCAATTTTGATGAATGGCAAAAAGGCCTAAGTAGCTGAAGGAGAGTGAAAAATGTGAACAGGAGGAGCTAAAAGTCACACAGGTACCTAGGATCAGGCTTGACTGGAGCCTCATGGGGACTCTGGCTTTTTTTCTGAGTGAAACACATCAGTGGATTTTGTGTATGACGAAATTTAAATGTTCAAAGGATTACATCAGATGCTGTGATTAGAATAAATTCTTCAGTGTCACTGGTGGAGACTGGGAGACCAGGTAGCAGACTACTATAAAAATCTGGGCAAGAGGGGATGGAATACAAAACCAGGATAGAAGAAGTAGAGCTAGTAGGCCGGGTGCCGTGGCTCATGTCTGTAATTCCAGCACTTTGGGAGGCCAAGGTAGGCGGATCGCTTGAGACCAGGAATTCAAGACCAGACTGACCAACATGGTGAAACCCCGTCTCCACTAAAAATACAAAAATTAGCTAGGCATGTTGGTGCATATCTGTAATCCCAACTACTCAGGTGGCCAATGCACAAGAATTGCTTGAACCTGAGAGGCAGAGGATGCAGTGAGCAAGATCATGCCACTGCACTGCAGCCTGAGCAACAGAGAGAGACTCTGTCTAAAAAAGGCGGGGCATGGTGGCTCTCGCCTATCATCTCAGCACTCTGGGAGACCAAGGTAGGCCGATCATCTGAGGTCGGCAGTTCAAGACCAGCCTGACCAACATGGAGAAACCTCATTTCTTCTAAAAATTCAAAATTAGCATGGTGTGGTGGCGCATACCTGAGAGGCTGAGGCAGGAGAATTGCTTGAACCCAGAAGGCAGAGGCTGCAGTGAGCTGAGATCACGCCACTGCACTCCAGCTGAGGCAACAAGAGCAAAACTCCATCTCAAAAAATAAAACAAGAAAAAGAAGTAGAGTTAGTAAAAATGGATGGAATTTAGGTTATTTTTGAAAGGCAGAACCTAAAGGATTTGCTAATTAACAGGACTGGAGTGAGGGAGAAAGAAGAGTCCAGGATGACTAAGGATTTTTTGGCCCAACGGTAACAGAAAGATGGCATTATCTGAGAAGAAAACTGTGTGTTTAGCAGGTCCGAGGACAGAGGAAGGCAAGTAAAGGCCAGGAGTTCAGCTTTGGACACTTCAAGTTTTAGGTAACTATGATATTACAGATGGAAATGTCAAGTAGGCAGTTAGATATGAGCTTCTAGAGAGAGGTCTAGCTAGAGGTAAACATTTGAGAGTCAAGAATATACCGACAGAATTTAACACCTGGTATACCATCACAGTACACTGGGCCCAACTTTTCCTTTTGAGCAGTGCAGTTCTACTTGTAAGAATTTATACTTTACAACTTTTCTTAGAGGTATTCCAAAAAGAAAACAGAAAAACAAAAATGTTTCTTAAAAAATAAACTATTTTATCTTGTAATAATATATGGGTTCCTTGGACTCTTTTATAAATCTAAGATTCACTGTGAAATTTTACAAAATCTTTATTTCTCCTGTATCTTGAAACATTCTGACTTTTCAGAAACGTTTACTTTTTAAACTATTCCCAGCCAAGGGAGGGAGGGGCAAAAAGAACAAAAATCATGAAGTATTATAAAAATTACTCAAAAATACAGATAGCATTCAAATGTGATTGATAGTTACCACAGGGGTAATATCTAATTAGCTACATGAAACCCTGGCTAGGCATGTGGCTCAACCCTGCAATCTCAGCACTCTGGAAACCTGAGGTAGTAAGATCACTGGAGGTCAGGTATTCAAGACCAGCCTGGGCAACAGAACCACAGACCTGTCTCTACAAAAAAATAAATAAATACAAATACAAAAATGAGCCAGGTGTGGTGGCACACACCTGTAGTCCCAGAGGCTGAAGAGGGAGGATAGCTTGAATCCAGGAGACTGAGGCTCCAAGGAGCTATGATCCCACCACTGCACTCCAGCCTGGGCAACAGAGTGAGATTCTTGTCACAAAAAGAGAGAGAGAGAGAGAGAGAGAGAGAGAGAGAGAGAGAGAAAAGAAATTTTTTAAAAATTTCGAATGCAATTGTTTTTTCACTATCCATTTATTCTTCTTACTTTTTTTTTTTTTTTTGAGACAGAGTCTCGCCCTGTCTCCAGGCTGGAGTGCAGGGGCGAGATCTCGGCTCACTGCAACCCCCGCCTCCTGGGTTCAAACGAATCTTGTGCCTCAGCCTCCCGAGTAGCTGGGATTACAGGTACCCACCACAAAAAACTTAATATATGTTAAAGAAAGAAAAAAAAAGGAAAGGGTTCATTGGCATTGGCCCCAGCTGGTAAATGGTTTTAACTACTTTCCTGGTTAGCTGAGAACTAAAGTCATGAGAGTGGATGCAAGACAATCAAGAAAAGAGGTCAAAGGATTTGGCTCAAAATATTACAACTTTAAAACTCAGTACAAACTTCCAATGAGGTGGGAAGAAAATCAGGAAAGTATGATGTCTGGGAAGTCAAGTATCCAAGAAAGTAAATCAGAGAAGGAAGTGATCAATGATAACAATATTCTACAGATAGGTCAAGTAAGATGAGGGCTGAGACCAGACCACTAGATTTAGCAGCATGGAACTCACTGGCAACTTGGACAACAGCCGTTTCAGTGGTGTGGTTGCAATAAAAACCTGGCTGCATAGGTTTGAGAGGAAAACTGATACAATCAAACATAAACAACTCTACTGAATTTTGCTTTAAAGGAAAAGAAATTCAGCAGTTGCTGGCAAAGTGATGTCAAGAGTATTATTTTTAAATAAGTGAAAGAACAGCTTAACTGTATGCTGACAAGATTAATCCAATAAAGGTAGAAACCTTGATGATCCTAGAGAGAGGGGAGAGAATTGCTGGATCCATGTCCTAAACAGACTAGCAGAGATAGGACCTAGAATACAACTGGAGGGTTCACCTTACATAGGAGGGCAAATGCTTCATTGGTGAGGGGACAGTTTATTGATACTGATGAGAGAAAGTGGGTACATATGGGGATGGGAAATCCACTCCTGATCGCTTCAGTTTTGCACATATCATCTGGTACTTATGACCTGTAAACAAAGCCAAAAGAAGTATGGCACTCTGGGAGCCTAGGTGGCATGGTATTAAGGCTCCTTTCTCACTTGCCCTCTGGGTTTCTGTTTTCTAAAATCCTTGCAATCACTAAATGGCATAACTTTTTCTACAAAAGGGAGGCGGGGAATTAGGTAGCACAAAGGAGTCACTGATCTATAGTGACTCTGAAATCCAGCAGGGCAACAGTTGAAAGTTCCTTGATTAGGTCTCAAAACTGGGAAAATAATTCTCCATGACTTTTGCCTCCATCTCTAGGCTCCTGCTTGCAACCTCTGAGTCATCTTTCCCTTTTCATGAAAGGTGGCATGTGTTAGCTGCAGAGCACTTTCTCAGCTTGCTTCCTGCCAGCAGTTTCTTTTCCCGTTCAGTCCTAGCTACCGTAGATTTCCTGCAAATCTCACCACAATAAACAAAAGCTATCCCCATAGATCTCTCCAAGACAAACTCTTCTCTATCTCTACCTAGGGCTCCTGCTAAAAAGGCTAGAAGCCCTATTGTCTGACAGAAGTCTTTAGCGTGACTGAAGAGTACCCTAAGGCACTACATTCTCAGGTCTTAACAAAAGGCTTTAAAGCACACCCTCGGCTTTATCTTTAGACCACCATTCTCCTTGCAGTGGCCCTTGAACTGATCTTTGCCATGTCTTAATTTTATCACCCTTTGCCAACCAGAAAGGCTGAGAATTTTCAAAACTCCTTTTTTAACAGTGCTTCC